GATTCTGCTGCTGTTTTGTTCTTTCAGTTTTTCCTTTGTTCTTATATTCCACATATGAGTAAAATCATTTGGTACTTGTCTTTCTCTGCCTGGCTTATTTCACTGAGCATAATACCCTCTAGCTCCATCCATGTTGTTGCAAATGGTAGGATTTGTTTTCTTCTTATGGCTGAATAATATTCCATTGTGTATGTGTACCACGTCTTCTTTATCCATTCATCTGCTGATGGACACTTAGGTTGCTTCCATTTCTTGGCTATTGTAAATAGTGCTGCAATAAACATAGGAGTGCATATGTCTTTTTCAAATTGGGCTGCTTCATTCTTAGGGTAAATTCCTAGAAGTGGAATTCTTGGGTCAAATGGTATGTCTATTTTGAGCTTTTTGAGGAATCTCCATACTGCTTTCCACAATGGTTGAACTAGTTTACATTCCCACCAGCAGTGTAGGAGGGTTCCCCTTTCTCCACAACCTCACCAACATTTGTTGTTGTTTGCCTTTTGGATGGTGGTGATCCTTACTGGTGTGAGGTGATATCTCATTGTGGTTTTACTTTGCATTTCTCTGATGACTAGCGATGTGGAGCATCTTTTCATATGTCTGTTGGCCGTCTGATTTCTTCTTTGGAGAACTGTCTGTTCAACTCCTCTGCCCATTTTCTAATTGGGTTGTTTGCTTTTTGTTTGAAAATTTTTCTTATAAGTAAAATTTGCAACTTATTTTCAGTAGGAAAGTTGTCAAGGTACCTAGTCCAGCATGTTTCAGGAAACAGGAAAGAACAATCTGTGGGGTGGGGGTGGGGGGGTTCAGTTTCCATCAAATGATATTTATAATCCTGGTTACAAAGTCAAATGTGTCTTCTTATGTTTGTGTCCTTAAAATTTTCTAGCTTAGAAATGTAAGAATTATTTTTAGTAGTGTAAAAAATATATAAGAGTGAGACTAGAATAGAGATCAAGAGATAGACTGAGAGCCTACTACAATATTCTAGGTGGGAGATAAAGTCAGAGGCAAAATGTGGCTGTTGGTAATGGAAAAGAAAGGAAGAAATAGTTTGAGATGCACCAAGAAACAAATACAGAATTTGTTACTGAATGCATGTGAATTGAACAAGAAGTAGGAAGACTCAGGGATTTCTAGTAAAAGATTTTGACTGCTGAAGGTTTTTCAGAAGTCAAAAGGAAAACCAAGGTTGTAGGACATGATGGTGAATTTGTTTTTCAAAATGTAGACTCTTTGTTATTGATGGCCCATTAGGGAGGAGATGTCCAACAGGCAGTTATAGTAAAAGCTACATGTCTGAGAAAAGGGGTCAGAACTAAAAGGAAGAGGGTGAAGATGAAAACAAAGGGATTAGAAGAAGAATAAGCAATGGAGAAGAATTGCCTACATAGAAAGTAAGAAGGGTCATGGTGATTGCAGAAGAAGGAAGGAGCCCTGATCAACAAGCATGCTTTTGCCACTACTTGTGACATTCAAATTAATTTCAGTGCCCTTATGAAATGTGCTCATGAATCTCTCTCACTTCCACCCCCAAAATTACAGACTAAGTTTTAAGATCTGTTTTTGTGGATTAAAGTATTAAACTGTTTTTTGGGTTTTTTCAGTTTTCTGATATGTTTTGTACTCTACCACATTTCAGACATCATCCTCTAGTTAATTTAGTTTGTTCTATCAGTATCTGAGATAAGTAAAATTAAACTAAGTCAAGCAGGAACAACAAATATGAGTTGATTTTATGGAATGTCCCAATATATTTTCCTTTTGCTAAAAAACAAAATCTTGTTTAGTGTTAGAATTTAGTCAGAAACTTTGGAACCAAAATGTAGAGCATTTCATTATATTTGTAATTCCACATGTTATTATTTCATGCAAAAATTACATTACTCATTAAGTGAAAATTATACTGGAGAAAATAGTTACCTTGAATGCAATGTTTGCAAATTGCTATTAACAGTTACAATGGAGCTGGTCACAGTATTTATATTGCTAAAGAGAAAAAACAGACTAAGCTGTGAAATAATATTCTCTGAACCAGGAACTGCACCTTGGGAAGAATGTTAGGGGTAAGTCTTGACTCATTTGTTGGGTTTATGGTTTTCAGGGAACTGATGCTGATTTCACATCAGAAAAGCATCCAGCAACTAGAGGAAACTCTTAGACAGAAGCTGCTGAATGATGATAATTGGAGTGAGAAGGTAACTACAATGTAGCTTTCATCAGCATATATCTTATTTGCTTTTTAAAAATTCTGCTTGCAGGAGATTATTCCAGATAGATTTCTTTGTTTCTATGCACACATTTGATTCCTTCTGGAATTCTTAATGAAACATACTATGATTTGTGAGTTTTCCAAAATATTAGACTACATAATGGGAAATAAAAAGGCAAGAAAAGAATTTGAAATCTTGTAAGATTAAGATAGCCCATAGTCCTCACGTAAAAGCATAATTTTTATTTTTAAATATTTACCTTTTTCACATAAAGTGACAGAATCTGCATTTGACCACATCCTTAGAAGTGGGGGAATAGTAATCATTCTTAAAATTTCTATGGTTTTAAGAACATAAAAGAATGAAAAAATGACTTAAAATTATTTAGTTTGGAACTTTTGGCAAGTTTAAAAGAATAAGTATTTAGTTCACTATTTATAAAGAAAACATTTGCTCTGAAAGTATGAAAAATATTACATTGATTTTTGCCTGAACTTTTCTATATTTTTCATTTTCAAGAATGAATATTTGTTACTTTCATAATTTTAAACAATCCTACTAATATTTAAAAAATTGTTAGCCCCTGTCTTCTCAAGCTGTGCCCAGCTCTAGTTATTGAGGCTACAGCCATCATCACCCCTTAATCAACGTCTGAGATGCCTTGATCGCTCCCTGGGCCTTGTCCTGCACAATGCCATGAAACCCTCCCAACTGTTTCTCTTCACAGCTGGTACCCGTCCCTAGCACTAGCCTTCTGCCTTGGTTTTCCGGTTATATCTTAAATTTGCCTCTAGAACTAGAGCTGGCTACTGAAATTTTGATTGCTGGACTAAAATCCTGAGAAGCTGTTTGGTTACTATGAGATTCTTCTCTGTGGTGACCAGACCCTGTAACTTGTAACTCCAAGCAGCAAGCACTGACCACCTTCAAACCTACATTCCCACTTGAAATCTCCCACTCTCCACCCACCAGATTGAAATCCTTTAAGTATTGTTTCTGGCTCAGGTCAATTCTAAATTTGTCACTTTCATTTCCATTCCTCATGCAGTGGCCTTATTCAGCTGGTACTGGCCCTGTATAAATCAGTCCCTCTTCCCTTGTCCCTCAGGGACAGCACATTCAGCCTGTAAAAAAATGATCACTCTAACAACAGTTCCATATAGGTAACAATTCAACTTGGAGAATATGGACAAAAGTTGCTCTAAGTGTCTTATTTTATTTTGTTTTATTTTGTACCAAATCTTTTACTTTTTCTCGACAGTCCACACCTCGTTAATTCTTTCTAATCTGTATTAGCCTCAGTGTACTCAATTGGCTAGTCTACTCTTATTCACTTGCTCCATCCTTGCCAATCCACATTTAAAAATATAAGATGATGATCGACCTAACTAGCAATCCAAAAAATGCAAATTAAAACAATGGGAGATTATATTTTATCTATCCAGTTGATAGAGTAGTTTTTGCACTGTGGTAAAGGTCTAGCGAGATAGTCTTTCACACTTATACTTTAAAGGACTGGATATTATAGCAATTTTTTGGAAAGCAGTTCGGCAATATACATGAAGGGAAATTATAAACGCCCTATCTTTTGACTCAGAAATTCGGTGATTGAATTAATGTGGGTAAAAATTCACAGATCCTTCCCTTCCCTTAAATTCCTGAGCTCTTCTTAGACTAACAGAGTGGACTTTCCTGCCTCTGCTTTTGTAGAAGTTCATCTCCATAGTCACATCCCACGAAGGACGTTTAGGTACAATCTATTGGAGAAGTCTCTGCATCCATGATGCACTGAAGTATTGCTGCTCACTATACAGTGTCCCAGGGTGCTAGCACAGAGAGCAGACCGAATGAATGTTAGCATCTGATCATATAAGAGTATTATGATCTTGTTTTATGCTGTTAATTTAATGATGAAAATAAACCTATGTAAGATTCTCTAAGTTCTTACTAAGGTCATGGTATCTTTCTAATAAATTAATTATATCACAATGTAAATTGTCATGTATGACTTTCTATAATATAGATTTATATTTCATTTTTTTGGGAGAACATGACCTCTTGTTAGTAAATCTTGTCATCTAGCTTAGCAGTAAATCAAGATCAAGACCAGTAAAGCAAAGGAATGATAATTATGTTAAGACTCTGAATAAAAAGTTCCCTTAAAGTCTTCTCATAAGAAAGGAGAATCACTAATATGACATTGTCATCTCTTTCTTGGATGCCTGTGCCTTGGCATGGGAATGAAATGTTCCTTTTATAAATCTATAAGACAAATATTGGAATAAACTTCACAGCTTAAATGTTTTAACATTCAAAAGAAGTAGATAGCAATTGGTGCCTATGCCTGATTATTTTAGAATGTATAAAAAGCACATAATAGAATCAATAGTTGCTATGTAACAAGGGTGACACATTTTTAAATAATTGTGTATTTACTTATTGTCATGGGTTTTTGTTTATTTCAAGAATTGCTTTGATGTGAAGAAAGCAAATTAATGTGCATGCTGAACAGTTAAAATTGATTCCAAATGCACAGTGTTGATACTTTTCAGTTAAAAATTTGTAATAAAAAAAACTCCTATAGCCAGACAGCTTACAATAAGTGATAGCCACTTATTGACTATCACTTTTGTAGTGCCATAAACAAATTTCAACTGTATTTTCTTAGATATTACTAAGATATCACATTTTGAAACATTTTAGAATTACACTATTGATCTCACTTTAAATAGTGCATAAAGCTTTTAAAAACCAAGACTTAAAATGAACAAAACCTTACTTTTTGGCTGAGCAACTGGACTGATAGTGAAAATGCAGTGGAGGTGGGGTGGGGTTAGTTCCAGAAATAGTCAATTCTAGCATCAAAGGAAGGCAAAAAAAATCTCAAATTCTTCTTCAAAATAGAAACACCAAATGGTCTTGTAAGTCCTAATATATTTTAGTGTACTAGTAATGAAATGAAAAGCATAACTTGTAAAATAACAAAATTTGACAAGGATGAAGCTGTCATTTATAAAATATAAATTCTCATTTATACATAATAAATGTATGGCTAAAAAGAATATTGAGGGCACACTTTAATTCTTTAAATTATGCCATATCATTTTCAAAATTGAATTAATTTTAAATCTGGAATAGCTACCAAACATTATTATAACATTATTAATTCCCATTTGCACATGGAAAAAATAAGTCTCAGAGAAGTAAGGTAATTGCCAAAGATATACAGCCAGGAAATGAGAACTGGTATAAACCTGGAAGAAAGAAGAACATGAGAAGTAAACACAAAGTCCAAAACTTATGCATTTGACCTAGATGAACTAATATTTGGCCTGGATAAACCAGATTTACACTCTTCCCTGAAACAACTATAACACTGGAGAAAAGATAGAAAACAATTGTTTCAAGACATCAAGCAATGGACAGTAGTCCTTGGAGATAGATGACAATCAAGGTGAGCCCTTTGATTTCCCTAACTTAGCACCTTGAAAAAAAATTAAGGCCATGTGCAAGGATTGGGAACCCTGGTGGAGTGTTTGGTAGATTCTTTGAATTGAGGAGACCTTTCAGAAAATCTAGGAAATGAAAGTGACTAGAGTTTCCAGGATGGTGTTCTCAGGAGAGAGCTGCACAAAGAACAAAGTCCCCATTAATTGTATGGATGGTCAGTACATATATGTGGGGGAACTACCCAAAGCCAAGGAAAGACCCATGTGATAGGACTTGAGAGAAGACTACCAAATGTTACACAAAGCCAGTGATAATACCTAGCTTGGCTGGAAAATTGATAATTCACAGGGCACTGGATAGAGTTCTCAAAAGGTCTTGCATCATTAGTAAGGAATAATTAGCCCTACAATAAATGTTGAGCTGATCCTGCTAACAAATTTTAAAAGGAAATCCTAAAAAAAAAATCAAGCTTATTCTAAGAAATTTATTTGCATCCCAGAACAGAGTTCAAGAATATTCATAGGAATAAAAAAATATCCACCATCTAACAAGGTAAAATATGCAATGTCTAGCACCCAATCAAAAATTTCCAGGAGAATAGGACTCATGATAAAAATAAAAATCAATGAATAAAGCTGACTCAGAAAGTCACAGGTGTTAGAGTTAGCAAATAAGCATATTAAAAGAGTTATGATAACTATATTCCATATGTCCAAAAACTAGAGGAAAATTGACCATGTTAAGTAGAGATATGGAAGATATAAAAAAGATCTAACCAAACTTCCAAAGATGAAAACTACTACGTCTAAGATAAAAAGTACACTGGATAGGAATAATGGCAGATTAGGCATTCCAGAAGAAAAGTTTAATGAACTTGAAATCACAGCAATAGATACTATCAAATGAAACAAAATAGAAAAAATATTCAGAACAAACAAAGAGCATTAGTGAGCTGTGAGACAAATTCTAGTGGACTATTATATGTATACTTGGAACCCCCAAGAGACAGGAAATAGAGGAGGGAACAAAAAATTTCTGAAGAAATACTGATTGAAAAAATTTAATTTAAGGAAAACTATAAAACCACCGAATCAAGAATCTCAACAAACCTCAAACACACGGAGGGACATTATAATCCACTTGCTCAAAAGTAGTGATATAAAGAAAATTTTTAAACCAACTGGAAAATGAGACATTTTATTTAGAGGAACAAAGGATGACAGCAGATTTTTCATCAGAAACAATGTAAGCAGGAAGACAGGGGGACTGAAAGTACTAAAAGAAGGTGAAGGTGGGGCATGAGTCACCAATCTAGAATTCTACACAAAAGTGTCTTTCAAGTATTAGGGTAAGATAAAGACTTTTTCAGAAATGAAAAAGCTGAAAGAAAGTATCATCAGCACACTCACACTATAAGAAATGTTAAAAGAAGGGCTTTAGTCAGAAGGAAAATTATAATAGGATTTATAATAAATTTATAATAAATTTCTTTAAAGTATAATTGACAAAAATATTAACAATCTGTGATTTATAAA